GCTTTATTTAAAAAGAACAAGGCCGACTGAACTCATTCGAGGGAAGATGCACCTAAAGGAGCAGTTCAGCAAAGACAACGTAGAGTTTTGTTCTCTCCCGTCTGTCCCTGCATTTGAGATCATGGGTATCGAGTAACGGGCCGAGCAGCAGCTGGGCACCCATGGGTCCAGACACCACAAAAGTGTTTACGTCTGCCAGTGTGTGTGTGTGCATGCGCTGGTGTGTGTGTCCGCTGGGGAGCCAGCCAGACGTCTCCGGTCTAATATTTCCTCTCAGGAGAACAAACAATGCAGAGAGGCTTCTCCCTTCTTGCCGTCCTGCCTTTATTCTCGACTTTCCCGGCTCTTCCTCTTTTGAATTACAAAATCTCTCCGATTCTCTGATCTCGTCCTCTCTCCTGCCGTCCTGCTCTCTGTTCTCCGTCTCGCTTCCTGCTGCAACAAAGCCGCTGATGGAATCAAAGAAGTCGGGCGAACTTGTTGTGCGTGCACACACACACACACCTACACACACACACACACACACACACACACACCTGGGTCGGCATCACGGGACAAAGCAACAACAGCCGAAGCAGCGCGTCGTCTGATGTCTGCGGCACAATAACTTCACCTCCATTCAGAAGAAGAGAAGGAGCTGAAGTGGCGGCTCAGTCTCACCACGGATGGGTTTGTTCTCAAAGGAGCCTCTCGACTCGACTCGGCATCACATCGATGAGGCTGAGGCCGAAGGTGGATCTAACGTGGGTTTTGTTGGGTCTGAATGCAAATCTCTGAATGTAAATCTATAACTCAGCAGCACACGGGTCTGAACCGGGTCAAACTGTTCTTTCTGTTGCGCGCGTCTTACGGCGCCGTCGCTCTTCTGATCTTTATCGATCGGATATTCCACAAAACTACAAAGCGGGTTTTCTGAGCGCCGTCTGATGATTTCTTTTGACTCAGTGCCCAGTTTAAGAGCAGCCTGTGTTTAGCCTGCTTGCTAGCGACATGTAAGCTAAATATTCTTTATGTCCTTTTTTTAAATATCAATTGAAGCCTGAACAGCCTGGATGAAGCTGCATGTTGTGCTGTTTAGCTGCACTGACTTCATGGGAAAGACCAACGAACTGCAGAGTCTAAAATGATCTACCTGAATCTGTAGTTGTCCATAAATCACGAACACCGGTTTGAGTCCAGGACCTGAGTTTCCTGGAAAAGTTCAGCATTAGAATTTTCTTTATTTTATAATGACGACAACCAGCTCCCAGTAGACCAACAACGTGCAACAAAACCATCCATGTTCAGATATCGTCTATTTATATTACACTGGTATTTTCACAATTCATGCACACTGCAAATAATGTTTATGTTCAGACACCACAGATAATTTGGCTCGTTGTATAAGTTATTTACTCATTTTTAGTCCTTGATTTTACAGTAAAATCTTAAACTGGGAATTAAAAATCTTATTTCAAGATTTCTTATTTAGTGTTTCTATCTGATATATGGGCTGCCATGTTTTGCAATGTATACAAGAATATATCTGCAATATTATTATTATTATTATTATTATTATATCTTTATTTTCTTTATCCTTTATATATATA